TGCATTGAACCCTATGTCCTAAAATATAAATATTATATTATAAAAATTTGTATTAAATAATATAAATGTTTTCATAATAATAGTGATTTAACATAAGAATAGAACAATATACTCGGTACCGCTTATTTAAAAAGAGCGGTTTTGAAGTGTCTATTTAAAAATTGTCTAGCGGTTTTCCCTTACATCATAACTAATAACTAAACATAAAGCTCATATCCCAAATCAAACATTAACCACAACCAAAATCAAAAACCATAAAAATACTTTTCAAAAATCACTATATAAAAGCCCTACCACCTTGCATAAAACTCACACCTAACATTCGCTATATCCAATATCACTTAATTTCTTACCATGGGAAACTTCAAGATAGCGTATGTTGTTATTGTGAAGAATCATGTGTATAAGTTTACAATAGCCTTGCGCCTTGCCTACATTATCTTCAGAACAGTGGTGTTGTTTCACCAAGATGTTGTTAGGCTGTTAAAAGGTTAGTTAATGCAGCTAAAACCATTGTTGAATTCCGTGCAACTTATGATTGCTTGAAGTCGGCTATTGCTGCTATCAAAGGAATCAATGAGGACTATGCTACTGCACTCGCTTAAAAATGTGGGACTAGTATCGCTTACAGGATCAGTTCTTCCATCAATTATGCAAGCAATACATGCATTATCTAATTATTAATTCTAAATGAAAAATAATTTAATTCTTATAAAAAGGGATCCAATTATTTTTTTAAATTCGTAAAGTAAATATTTAAATAAATAGAAATTATTGAAATGGGTTATTTTTTAAAAGGTTTATATTATAAAACTTCACAAATAAAGTTTAAAGATGGATCCATATTATTCTGGTTTAATTTTATTTTTGTGTATAAATAAAATAAAATATTTTATGTTAAATTATCAAAAATATTAATCACTCCTCATATCCAAATTAATTATGCCACATATTAATTAAAGTAACAATAGGAGTTTTATACTATTTGAGTAAAAGTTATGATGTATTTATTTGCACAAAGCTAAATTATTTTATATTTAGATTTTTAAAATAAACAAAGTACTTAGATAGAGAAAAACAAACTGTACTAAATTTGATCAATAATATGGAATAGACAAAAAGTGGTTGCATGCATGAGAAAATTATATACTTTTATATGTGATTTCAAATGAAGACAAATAAAAATATCTATTTATAATGTTTATACATTGAATGTTGTGATGACATTTTGGTATATAAAAAATAACATTATTTCTTCTTATTATATTATATTTTTTTTTGTAGTATCAAGTGATGTGAAATGTTATGAATGTTGAATCTTCAACAAAAATAATGTATGATATTGCTATATGCTAGTGTGAAAGAGAATAAAGAAAGAGGATAGTTCTAGCATTTATGATAGAGCAAGTTTTCTCTTATATTTTACACATTTACTATGTTTTTACATATCTATTATATATGTGCGCCTTTGTTTATTCTGTATACTCTAACGTGATGTGTTAAAAATATTAATAAAAAGTTCAACCAGATTCATTATTCCATTTCAACTTGCATTGAACCCTATGTCCTAAAATATAAATATTATATTATAAAAATCTGTATTAAATAATATAAATGTTTTCATAATAATAGTGATTTAACATAAGAATAGAACAATATACTCGGTACCGCTTATTTAAAAAGAGCGGTTTTGAAGTGTCTATTTAAAAATTGTCTAGCGGTTTTCCCTTACATCATAACTAATAACTAAACATAAAGCTCATATCCCAAATCAAACATTAACCACATCCAAAATCAAAAACCATAAAAATACTTTTCAAAAATCACTATATAAAAGCCCTACCACCTTGCATAAAACTCACACCTAACATTCGCTATATCCAATATCACTTAATTTCTTACCATGGGAAACTTCAAGATAGCGTATGTTGTTATTGTGAAGAATCATGTGTATAAGTTTACAATAGCCTTGCGCCTTGCCTACATTATCTTCAGAACAGTGGTGTTGTTTCGCCAAGATGTTGTTAGGGTCTTATAAGGTTAGTTAATGCAGCTAAAACCATTGTTGAATTCCGTGCAACTTATGATTGCTTGAAGTCGGATATTGCTTCTATCAAAGGAATCAATGAGGACTATGCTATTGCACTCGCTTAAAAATGTGGGACTAGTATCGCATACAGGATCAGTTCTTCCATCAATTGTGCAAGCAATACATGCATTATCTAATTATTAATTCTAAATGAAAAATAATTTAATTCTCATAAAAAGGGATCCAATTATTTTTTTAAATTCGTAAAGTAAATATTTAAATAAATAGAAATTATTGAAATGGGTTATTTTTTAAAAGGTTTATATTATAAAACTTCACAAATAAAGTTTAAAGATGGATCCATATTATTCTGGTTTAATTTTATTTTTGTGTATAAATAAAATAAAATATTTTATGTTAAATTATCAAAAATATTAATCACTCCTCATATCCAAATTAATTATGCCACATATTAATTAAAGTAACAATAGGAGTTTTATACTATTTGAGTAAAAGTTATGATGTATTTATTTGCACAAAGCTAAATTATTTTATATTTAGATTTTTAAAATAAACAAAGTACTTAGATAGAGAAAAACAAACTGTACTAAATTTGATCAATAATATGGAATAGACAAAAAGTGGTTGCATGCATGAGAAAATTATATACTTTTATATGTGATTTCAAATGAAGACAAATAAAAATATCTATTTATAATGTTTATACATTGAATGTTGTGATGACATTTTGGTATATAAAAAATAACATTATTTCTTCTTATTATATTATATTTTTTTTTGTAGTATCAAGTGATGTGAAATGTTATGAATGTTGAATCTTCAACAAAAATAATGTATGATATTGCTATATGCTAGTGTGAAAGAGAATAAAGAAAGAGGATAGTTCTAGCATTTATGATAGAGCAAGTTTTCTCTTATATTTTACACATTTACTATGTTTTTACATATCTATTATATATGTGCGCCTTTGTTTATTCTGTATACTCTAACGTGATGTGTTAAAAATATTAATAAAAAGTTCAACCAGATTCATTATTCCATTTCAACTTGCATTGAACTCTATGTCCTAAAATATAAATATTATATTATAAAAATCTGTATTAAATAATATAAATGTTTTCATAATAATAGTGATTTAACATAAGAATAGAACAATATACTCGGTACCGCTTATTTAAAAAGAGCGGTTTTGAAGTGTCTATTTAAAAATTGTCTAGCGGTTTTCCCTTACATCATAACTAATAACTAAACATAAAGCTCATATCCCAAATCAAACATTAACCACAACCAAAATCAAAAACCATAAAAATACTTTTCAAAAATCACTATATAAAAGCCCTACCACCTTGCATAAAACTCACACCTAACATTCGCTATATCCAATATCACTTAATTTCTTACCATGGGAAACTTCAAGATAGCGTATGTTGTTATTGTGAAGAATCATGTGTATAAGTTTACAATAGCCTTGCGCCTTGCCTACATTATCTTCAGAACAGTGGTGTTGTTTCGCCAAGATGTTGTTAGGGTCTTATAAGGTTAGTTAATGCAGCTAAAACCATTGTTGAATTCCGTGCAACTTATGATTGCTTGAAGTCGGATATTGCTTCTATCAAAGGAATCAATGAGGACTATGCTACTGCACTCGCTTAAAAATGTGGGACTAGTATCGCATACAGGATCAGTTCTTCCATCAATTGTGCAAGCAATACATGCATTATCTAATTATTAATTCTAAATGAAAAATAATTTAATTCTTATAAAAAGGGATCCAATTATTTTTTTAAATTCGTAAAGTAAATATTTAAATAAATAGAAATTATTGAAATGGGTTATTTTTTAAAAGGTTTATATTATAAAACTTCACAAATAAAGTTTAAAGATGGATCCATATTATTCTGGTTTAATTTTATTTTGGTGTATAAATAAAATAAAATATTTTATGTTAAATTATCAAAAATATTAATCACTCCTCATATCCAAATTAATTATGCCACATATTAATTAAAGTAACAATAGGAGTTTTATACTATTTGAGTAAAAGTTATGATGTATTTATTTGCACAAAGCTAAATTATTTTATATTTAGATTTTTAAAATAAACAAAGTACTTAGATAGAGAAAAACAAACTGTACTAAATTTGATCAATAATATGGAATAGACAAAAAGTGGTTGCATGCATGAGAAAATTATATACTTTTATATGTGATTTCAAATGAAGACAAATAAAAATATCTATTTATAATGTTTATACATTGAATGTTGTGATGACATTTTGGTATATAAAAAATAACATTATTTCTTCTTATTATATTTTTTTTTTTTTGTAGTATCAAGTGATGTGAAATGTTATGAATGTTGAATCTTCAACAAAAATAATGTATGATATTGCTATATGCTAGTGTGAAAGAGAATAAAGAAAGAGGATAGTTCTAGCATTTATGATAGAGCAAGTTTTCTCTTATATTTTACACATTTACTATGTTTTTACATATCTATTATATATGTGCGCCTTTGTTTATTCTGTATACTCTAACGTGATGTGTTAAAAATATTAATAAAAAGTTCAACCAGATTCATTATTCCATTTCAACTTGCATTGAACTCTATGTCCTAAAATATAAATATTATATTATAAAAATCTGTATTAAATAATATAAATGTTTTCATAATAATAGTGATTTAACATAAGAATAGAACAATATACTCGGTACCGCTTATTTAAAAAGAGCGGTTTTGAAGTGTCTATTTAAAAATTGTCTAGCGGTTTTCCCTTACATCATAACTAATAACTAAACATAAAGCTCATATCCCAAATCAAACATTAACCACAACCAAAATCAAAAACCATAAAAATACTTTTCAAAAATCACTATATAAAAGCCCTACCACCTTGCATAAAACTCACACCTAACATTCGCTATATCCAATATCACTTAATTTCTTACCATGGGAAACTTCAAGATAGCGTATGTTGTTATTGTGAAGAATCATGTGTATAAGTTTACAATAGCCTTGCGCCTTGCCTACATTATCTTCAGAACAGTTGTGTTGTTTCACCAAGATGTTGTTAGGGTGTTAAAAGGTTAGTTAATGCAGCTAAAACCATTGTTGAATTCCGTGCAACTTATGATTGCTTGAAGTCGGCTATTGCTGCTATCAAAGGAATCAATGAGGACTATGCTACTGCACTCGCTTCACTACGCCAAAAATGATTTTTTGTATCACCTAATTTAATAGCACTTTTAAAAAAAATGCTATTAAAATGGAAAAAACACATTTATAATAGCACTTTTTAATCGGGCGCTATTATATAATACAGACTATGTAATTATGATAGCACTTTGTACCAAAACGCTATTATTAAACTTCTTTAAGATAGCACTTTGTATAAAACGCTATTATTTGAATACCTATATAATAGCATTTATTAAAAAGCGCTATGTTATATATAATAATAAATTAATTAATTAATTGATAAAAAAAAAAAAAAACACATTTTCAGAAGCACTGTGCAATCCAGTCACTAGCAAGTTCATGTTCAATTCTTTCTCCTCATAAAACTCTTTCCCAAACCCACAGCGAACGTCAGCGCCGCTTCATCCACCGACGACAGCGGCATCCCGTTTCCCATCAATTTTCCCCTTTCGATTTTCCCGGCCACACCACCGCCGTCATCGCCGCTTCATCCACCGACGACAGCGGCATCCTGTTTCCCATCAATTTTCCCCTTTCGATTTTCCCGGCCACACCACCGCCGTCATCGCCGCTTCATCCACCGACGACAGCGGCATCCCATCTCAAGATCTCGCAGTTCTCCTCGAAGTCGACGGGTGAATTTTCGCTTTTCTTCGTTATTAACAATCTCGTTTCAGTTTCACTCTGCTCAACTTGTTTGAACTGTTGTGGTTGTTAATTGTTTTATTTATTTATTTGTTTGTTTTTTAGGGTTCTTGTGGATGCATACCGTGGGAATCGCATAGCCTTCAATAAAGGTATCAACAGTTCGACTGTGCTCACTGTCACTGCTCATCTATAATTCCATATTCTCTTTGTGTTATTCTGTTTTCATGGAGTGTAACGAACTGTTGTTTTTCGATTTTGATTTCGATGTTGTGCTTGCAGCATTTGAGAAACTTGGACTTGATTGTGCGAGCTGGAGCGAACCTGTCTATTCAGATCTTTTAAGGTGTTTTTTTGGTTATTTGTTGTTATATTATTTTCTTGCCTGTGCATATGTTCTAATGGAAAAGGTGATGATGATACACTTAGATTTCATGAGTTCTTGTAATCAATGCATTGAATTTCAATGAAGTCTCAGTTTGGTAAGGACTTGGAATTTCTGCATTCATGCAGTCATGGATCTTAGCTGTAAGATGAACATGATCATCAAAGCACTGTGCAAAATAGCGGTGTCACACTCGTAGCTGAATCTGTGCATATGTTATTTCTGCATCAATAACTAAACCACAAACATGCTCGATAATATGCAGGGATTGTTTGCATATATAATGCCCTTGTTTCTGAGGTATGTAAATCTAGCTTTCTGATGCCTACCATGCTTTATATTTCAGGTTGATACATTATTGCTGTTATCACAGCAAGACGAAAGACATCTATTGGAGAGAAATGTGAATTCAGCCCTTCAAATAAAGACTGAAGAACTTAAAAGGAACTTGTTACAGGTAAATTTGTCTGTCATGTCTTTGCTTCAGACACTTGGAACATTTAGATGCTAATAGCTCTGTGGTGGTTAGAGTTTAGAAAATTGCTTATGTTATGGCTGTGTTATGGATACTATACTATACTATATACTATATTGGTCAGAAAAGAAAGTTAGTTGTATGCTTGCAGCATCTAGGTTTTTAGTTATTTTGTTCTTTTATTTTCATTTTGCAATTTTATATATTCATATCCTTCAGAAAATGAAGCTATGCTAAGAGTCCTCTTAAAAATATCCAAAGCAGTATGTATGTGCCTCTGATTTGTGGACTATGAGAACCTTATTTTAAACCACTGGTGCAAGGATTTTGATATTATCCAATGCTCGGAAATAGTATTTTAATTTGAGAGTTGTTGATATTTATAGTGTTACAAAGCAGCTTCATTAGGGACAACTGTAGCTGAACTAAAAATTGAGACATTAGGGAGAACTGCAGCTGAACTACAAATTGAGAAAACGACTGTATTTGTCTTAGAATAATAATTGCAGGATAGGATAATACAGTACAGAGGCATAACTCATCCACCTCGGTTGCCATAACAGCCATGAAATGCCACGTGTGGTGCAAACTATACGAACAAATTTGTCATTCGAATTGAGTGCGGTAGAGAGATCGCTGTGATGGAGTGTGTCGGCCATCTTTTAGTTAAGAAAATAATAATAATAATAATAATAATACATTATTTATTTTGATAAGAGTTGTAAGTGATTTTGAAAAAAGAAAGGGCATGAGGTAGTTTGGATTTATCTTAAAGAAAACTCAACGTGGCGGCGCTACCAGTCGACACACTAGCAGCCAAAAGGAAAACTCATTCCCTTCCTTTCACTTCACCCGCCTCTACCGTCAATATTTATTGTCATTAATTAATAAAATTAATATAGTACATGTATACTCCATATAGAATATTTTGTTCTTGTTCAGGAATTCATAGAAAACAACATGAAACTAAAGATTCAGGACCACTAAAAAATTAAATATCATATCACTATTATTGTACTTTCTTAAGCGTATGTAATTATATGAAAATATTTGTACTTTCTAGGCACATACAATTTAAGGTACTTATTTTACTAGAACAACTTGATGGTTATTATGAGATTTTTAAACTAATTATATACCTATTCTGATTTAACTGATATAATTCAATATAATACAAATCCATTTTCATATATACTTCATTCATATAATACTTACTTCATATACTTCTTAATTGATGTAATATTTAATTGATATACTTCTTCAAATATAAATGATTCAATTTTCATAATACATAATATGTCATTGCTTCAAGTTGTTATATGGCATTTGATCTCACAATATGTAAGCTTACATTCATAAATGATTATTGTTTCAATACCTAGTCATTTAACATTTATCAATGTAGAACTTACATGTTAATTACTTTTTGAAATTGAGTATCAATACTATTTATAAATAAATTTCTTAAATCATGTCATACATAAACCTGTTACATGTTAAGTACTTGTAACTTATTCTTATAAGAAGTAGTGGAATGACACCAATTCTTAATGCCTAATATTAACATATGATATGTATTTATTGCCTAGTTTCTCTCTAGTTACTCCAACTTATTATCCTAATTTAATAAAACTCTTTATTGATGATAATAAACCTTCTGCTATTGAATATATAAAAAACAATGGTTTACTATCCAACGATGAATTAATATTACTTAATAACTTTGATCAGTATACTTTAGAGGGTATTATGATATATGTATTAGGCAATCTATACTACTCTCTTGATAATGAAATTCCAGCTGTTCGAGTTTTTACTCTGATAGATCATATTGATAAGCATGTTAGATACCATTATAATACAGTTCATAATATGTGAAATAATCAATTTAAAAGTAGAGTTTCAAATGTGAAATGATCCAAGATGGAACATAATTTGGTTGTTAGAACCAATTTTTAATTAGTTATATATGTTACTTGTTAGGAAATATGGATCGAAAATGGATGTTTGCCAATCGAGCGTCAAAAGAATATGAAGATGGAGTTCGTGAGTTCGTTAGGTTTGCTATTGCTCATGCTGAAGACACTAGTAAAATCATATGCCCTTGCTTAGAATGTTGTTATACGGATGTTAGTGCAAATGTTTTGGAAGATCACTTAATATGTAATGGAATTGATAAAAGCTACACATGCTGGATAATGCACGGGGAAAAAAAAACCAAGTCCACAAAAAGGAGTAATGGGAGAGATTCATCAAATGATTTTGAAAAAGATACGAATTATGCGTTTGATCGAGTTGAAGAATTTGTCAATGTAATTGAGGAAGATCTTCGTGATTGTCCTCAAATGTTTGAGCGGATAGTAAGTGATGCAGAGACTCCGTTGTATGATGGATGTACTAAATTCACAAGACTGTCAACGGTCTTAAAGTTGTATAACTTAAAAGCACGCCATGGATGGTCCGATAGGATCTTCACAGACTTGTTGACTCTGTTAAAGGATATTTTGCCTGAGAACAACGTGCTCCCTAGTCGAACGTATGAGTCTAAACAATTGTTATGTTCTATTGGCATGAGTTACGAGAAGATACATGCTTGTCCAAATGATTGCATTTTATTTCGCAAGGAGTATGCATCGTTGAATATGTGTCCTAAATGTAGTGCCCCACGCTATAAGAAGAAAGAAACAGCTCCAGCCAAAACGCTATGGTATTTTCCGATAATACCAAGATTTAGGCGCATGTATCATAATGCAGAAGACGCAAAGAACTTAACATGGCATGCAAATGAAAGGGTTGTTGATGGAATGCTCCGACATCCCGCAGATTCTCCTCAATGGGCAAAAATTGATCATGATTACCCAAATTTTGGGAAGGAAGAAAGAAACCTACGTCTTGCATTGTCTACTGACGGAATAAATCCTCATGGTATTCAAAGTAGTAAACTTACTTCTTGGCCAGTCATTTTGTTGATTTATAACCTACCTCCATGGCTATGTATGAAGCGCAAATACACGATGTTGAGTATGTTAATTTCTGGGCCCAAGCAACCAGGAGATGATATAGATGTATACTTGGCTCCATTAATTGAAGATTTAAAGCATATGTGGGAGACAGGTGTGGAGGTATATGATGAGTATAAAAAAGAATCCTTCAACTTGAGGGCTATGTTATTTGGAACAATCAATGATTTTCCTGCCTATGGGAATCTATCAGGCTACAGTGTCAAAGGAAAATTTGCATGCCCCATATGTGAAGATGGTACACATTCAATACGATTGGAGTATTGTATGAAGAATGTATTTCTTGGACACCGTAGATTTTTAAATACCAACCATCATTTTCGAAAATGGAGAAAAGCTTTTAATGGTGAATCAGAAGAAAATAGAGCTCCTTTGGCTTTGACGGGTGATCAATTATACCAAAAGGTAAAGCTTTTGAGCACTAATTTTGGAAAGCCATTTTCAAGTGAACTTGTAAAGGGAGGATGGAAAAAAAAGTCAATTTTCTTTGAATTGCCGTATTGGAAGTCATTGTATGTTAGACATTTCCTTGATGTGATGCATATAGAAAAAAATGTGTTTGAAAGTGTCGTTGGTACATTACTCAATCTTCCAGGAAAGTCTAAGGATGGCATTAATGCAAGGTTAGACCTGCAAAGTATGGGATTAAGAAATGAGTTACAACCGGTTAAGAGGGATGGGAAGCGTACATTTCTACCTCCAGCAGCTCATACTCTGTCAAGAAAAGAGAAAAAGATCTTGTGTAAGGTTCTTCACAATGTTAAAGTTCCAGAGGGCTACTCATCAAACATTAAGAGTTTGGTATCTATGAAAGATCTCAAATTGAAGGGTTTAAAGTCTCACGATTGTCATGTTTTAATGGAGAACTTTCTTCCAGTGGCTATACGTTCCATTTTACCTGAAAATGTGCGATGGACCATAACTAAACTTTGTTTTTTCTTCAAAGCTATTTGTAGCAAAGTTATTGACCCTGAGAAGTTACCGACGTTACAAAAGGAAATTGTTGTCACATTATGTGAGCTTGAGATGTATTTTCCACCCTCATTTTTTGACATAATGGTTCATCTTACAGTCCATCTTATAATGGAAACACAATATTGTGGACCAGCTTATATGAGGTGGATGTACCCGATTGAGCGTTACATGAAGATAATAAAAGGGTACGTGAAGAATCGAAGTCGACCAGATGGTTGTATTGTTGAACGATATTTAGTTGAAGAAGCCATTGAGTTTTGTACTGAATACCTCTCTAATATTGAGCCCATAGGGATTCCAATGTCACGACACTCTGGAAAAACAACAGGGGAAGGGATTGGTGCAAGTAAACTAGTAACCATGTCAGACATCGAATTGGAGCAATCACACTTGTATGTTCTACACAATGCTGATGAGGTTGAGCCATATGTTGAAAAGCACAAAGAAATACTTCAAAGTTTGAACCCTAATAAGAGTGAAAATTGGTTAACAAGAGAACACAATCGAAGTTTTATACCGTGGCTAAAAGAACACATTTTTTCAGAATTTGCTAAAAATCCTGATTCAATTTCAGAAAGATTGAGATGGCTAGCAAATGGTCCAAATTCAAATGTTCTATCGTACTCTGGTTATATAATTAACAAGTATACATTTTATACAGAAGAACATGATCATCAAAGCACTGTGCAAAATAGCGGTGTCACACTCGTAGCTGAATCTGTGCATATCTCAAGTTCCAAAAATAGAAATCCCGCATTTTCCAAATTGTCATATTTTGGGGTCATTGAACGTATTTGGGAATTGGATTACTCATGCTTTCAAGTGCCCGTGTTTGGTTGCAAGTGGGTTGACAATAACAATGGCCTTCAAGTTGACCCTGGGTTCATGAAGGTCGATCTTAATAAAGTAGGGTATAAAGACGAGCCTTTTATTTTAGCATCACAAGCTCACCAAGTGTTCTATGTCACTGATCCTGCTGATGAAAAGTGGTCTATTGTGTTTCTAAGTAACAAAATAAATGAATCAAATATAGATGTTGAGGATGACCCTTTCTTTAATACTTCACAATCCCTTGAGTCTGAATCAATTATAGATGATATTCTTTATATGAGAAACGATCACAGTGATGGGATTTGGATCAATCCATCATTTTATGTAACTAGAAAACAAAAAAGTAGGAATCCAACTACAAGGAAGAGGAAAAGGCCGACTTAATCTTGTATGGTTTATTTATTTGTTTTTCATTTTTTTATTGTTATTGCTTCTTAATGTTATTCTTGTATGGTATATAACTTTTTAAATTTTTATAGGTGAAATATGGCTTCTATTAATGATGAAAGTGGTTCGTCTAGTAAGAAAACAGTTGGTAAACGTGGTGTGACCCGATTGCAAAAAATTCACAAAGCCAAAAGCAATGGAAAGAGAATTGAGGTAAAATAGCTAGAGTTTTATGATACTGTTTACTCTCTTGGCAATTTTCCTTTTACTGAACTATGTATGAGTGA